GCAGAGATGAGGGTATGGTTGAGCAGCGTCTGTGAACTGCTGCTGTACAACAGGTGATGGTCAGCTTCAGCACACCGGCGGACGCTGCTGTTCTTGTGCTGTATTCAGTGAAATGTTCAGAGATGCGCATTAATACTGCATGCAGGAGGCGGTTCACTCTCATCAAATATGCATCGGCAGGGATTCTTGTTCAAGTGTGTTTGGCCAGAGCTACACCACAGGGATTTGCTCAGTTAGTGGCCTGATCACAGCCTCTCTGACAGCTACACCACACAGCGCTTTAAATAAAGACCAAACACTGCACGGGTTTACTTTCCTTTAGCTTTTCTGCACTTCACCAACAATGCATTCACTCTGGTGTTCTGCTCTAGGGCGGCATGTCTGAAACACTAGTCTAGAGAACTGGAGAACGCTCAACAACTTTCATCATTAAATAAACAAAATAAGGTTTCAATCCAAACTTCCTCCAAGAGACTTGAGATGTGGAAAATACTTGTTTCACACACACACATTTGTGTCACCAGCCACACCCCCACAACCCTCAACTTCACCCCACAACCCTCAACCTCCCCTCACACCTCTCAACCTCGCCCAACAACCCTCAACTTCACCCCACAACCCTCAACCTCCCCTCACACCTCTCAACCTCACCCCACAACTCTCAACCACACCCCACAACCCTCAACCTCCCCTCACACCTCTCAACCTCGCCCAACAACCCTCAACTTCACCCCACAACCCTCAACCACACCTCACAACTCTCAACCACACCCAACAACCCTCAACTTCACCCCACAACCCTCAACCTCCCCTCACACCTCTCAACCTCGCCCAACAACCCTCAACTTCACCCCACACCTCTCAACCTCACCCCACAACTCTCAACCTCGCCCAACAACCCTCAACTTCACCCCACAACCCTCAACCTCCCCTCACACCTCTCAACCTCACCCCACAACTCTCAACCACACCCAACAACCCTCAACCTCACCCCACACCTCTCAACCTCACCCCACAACCCTCAACCTCACCCCACACCTCTCAACCTCACCCCACACCTCTCAACCTCGCCCAACAACCCTCAACCTCACCCCACAACCCTCAACCTCGCCCAACAACCCTCAACCTCACCCCACACCTCTTAACCCCACCTCACAACTCTCAACCTCACCCCACAACCCTCAACCTCGCCCAACAACCCTCAACCTCACCCCACACCTCTCAACCCCACCTCACAACTCTCAACCTCACCCTACAACTCTCAACCTCGCCCCACAACCCTCAACCTCACCCTACAACTCTCAAACTCGCCATACACCTCTCAACCTCGCCCCGCATTTTTTGAGGGGTGCACATTAGGGAACTGTAACTGGGTGAACTGTACATGTATGAACCAGCCCTAAAGCAGACTGAAGGAGTGTCTTTGCTCCACTGCGCTCTGTCTGGCACCTGAGGAGCAGTGTCAGGCTGTAATCAGGTTAGTGTGAGCCGTGATGGATGAAGACGCAGCCGGCAGACGCTCCTGCAGCATTAGGGTGTCTGAGCCGTCAGCTGGAGCGTCTCATTAAACGCTGTCCCTCAGATCCCTGCATTAGCTTTATTAGCAGCTCCACATTCAGCTCTCGCGCGGCTACATCTGAAA